GACTGTGCATTATCTATCTCTGTGCCGAATGACTGATTGACTGTGCATTATCTGTCTCTGTGCTGATTGACTAAATGAATGATTAATGTGATCAGAACATGGTCTGAGAATCATATTTTGGATAATAAATGTTTGATTTATTTTATTTGTGCATTAAGAATGACATAAACAAATGTGTATAAAATTCGATAAACTTTATTGATCCTGGGGGGTAAATTCTTGTGCATTCAACAGCAAGGTACATAGAGCAGTGTATCTCAAACCAGTCCTCGGGGACCCCCAGACAGCCCAGGTTTCCCGAGGACTGGTCTGAGAAACACTGACGTAGAGCACAGACAGAACATGCATATAATGCAAAAGAGACAAAGTGCAATGACAGTGTATATACTGTAAATGTAGTGCAAACATTAAAAAGTACACAGTACACAAATAGAATATCCTGAAAAACAGAATATCAAGGAAATAAAAAAGAAGTCAGTTTGCAGAGATATATGGGTAATAAAACAAAAAATTATAGCACCGGTTATTTACTAATGCAAAGATGGGATGCTTTTTGACCTGTTACGGCTGGGGCTGGGGTGTAGCACGTTTTTTGCATTTTCAATTTTGATGAGGAACTACACAGCCAGCATATAATCCCCTGGTACTTAGATCTTGTCTCTCTCCTCTGTGTCATGTGACAGTTGCAGCCCCTGTATGAAACACACTGACCTGACCAGTCACTGGTCAGACTTGTTATTTTAGGAGCTCTTGTTAGTAGGGGAAGTGAGTCGTTTCCTCCTGAGAAAGAAAATACCAAATCATAATTAACTTCCTGCATTTTTTACATTCTGTCTACATCAATAGTATGTAAATTATAACACGTTTTAATGTACAACGTAGGGTTACATCATAACACACTAATTTCATCACCATGTCCTATTATACTATTACCAATTGTGAGAATCTCCCTGACGTAACAGTTGACATACTCAACGGACTTTGCAATCTATTAATATAATCGATTTTTTTCATTTAATGTAATAATTGCTATCCATGCCTGGATGTGCTGCACATCGCAGGCTAACGTGTGACTGCGCTAGAGCTTTGTGTTTGGGACCGGGCAGGTGATGGGCTCCGATCCTGGGCCCAGCTGAGTGATTTCACTGTTCGGCCCTTAAACCTAGTTACTCCACAGACTAGCTGATGCTGCTCTCTCACTTGTAGGCCACTAGTGACAATAGCATCTGCTATTTAAGTAAATGTATAATACTGTTCACTTTTTCAGCTGTAGACTTTGGACACAAAATGATCATGAACCTTGTTCCTGTTATTCATCGTCTCTAAGTTTTGGCTGCATGATTGAAGTTCTTGATTGTCAGCACATCCATGTACATGTACACAGTGCACTGAAAACGCTTTCTCTTCAGGCCTCTTATGGTGCCACACATAAATACAAATATAGAAAATAACATGTTCATATTTCCTCTCTCAGATATGTAGGTTCAAGGTAAAAGTATTACATAAGATAATGAAATAGTGTCTTTCCGATGTGGCTCTTCCTGGTTGGGATTCCTGACATTCCTGTCTCACAGACGTAATGTACGTTACGTAGACAAACCAAGGCCAAAATAAAAACCCAAAATCTACCATGTTAGCTCACCGTAGCCCCCATTATGATGTAATATTGTTAGTATCGATTTAAAATGGTGGAGACACTCCGCAGCTGAAACAAAATCAGTAAAATCCCTAATTATTTTTCCCAGAGGACTAAATTCTATCAACAGCATAAATCCAAGGGCCACTGGCCCAAATATTGTTCTCTTACCAGTTTAAGTTTAAAATTTGGCAGGGAGGAGTGGGGGGGTGCTGATGATAATAACTGCTAACCAGGGGGTGGTGCTGACAGACAAATTTGTTGCGCAGGGAGCTTGGGGGAGCTGACCGTAATACTTACTGTACACTGTGTATGTGTGTGTGTGGGGGGGGGGGGCTCACAACAATATTTGCTCAGTGGGATGGGGTGCTGACAATTAAATTTGCTGGGGGGGGGAGGAGTTAAAGCTGAATTTGACCCACAGGCTTTAGTGGTTCATGCTTGTTATGATTATTCATAAACACACTATATGTTTGCTTGGCAGTGTTGTGTGAAATTCTCCGTTTGCACTCAGTCCTGGCAGTTGAGCCGGTGGACGGTTACATGGGGGAGAATGTCCTGTGCAGGCCGTCCCAGCAATACAGCACAATTAAGTGTTGGTTATATTTGTTCAGTGTAAAGTAATATGCTCACTGCTAAAGACTTGAACCAAAAACAGGGGGACATTATCTTCCTTTATCATTAATTCATTAACAGAACTCACTAATACTCTACAAAAAACTCTAACTATGAATTTACAATGTTAAAAGGAGGGTATCTAGTGTTTATTTTAAAAATACGTCTGAAAAGGCTCAACCATTATTGAAACATGGGGTAAAACGTCCACATACTAACCTTTGACTCACAAGTTAACTTCACATTTTCCACTGTTATGTAATGCAGATACAGTCCAGCATCCGAGCTGTTGGGATTAAAACTGCCCTTGCTGTACTCTGCAGGAAAAGCACTTGCTCTGCCCTTGAACTGGGAGAGCTGGTTCTGGGGCATCGCCCCCCTTTATAACATCATAGACATTCCTATGGTCCCCAAAGCGTGGTCTGGGAATCAGATGCCTGATATAAAAATACAGTTGTATTTGGATTATTATATATTTATGCATCAAACATGACACAACTGTATATAAAATTAGATAAACTTTATTGATCCTGGGAGTAAATTACGTTAAATATAAATTTAAACTCAACCAAACTTTCTAAACTGTCTAATATGTGGCATGTAAAATGTATTTAATAAAGCTGAACATTTTTACCATAGACATTGTCATGTTGTAATGTTCTGATTAATGTTTGCTTCACTTGTAGATCACTTTGCTGTACAAAAGTAAGGAAATATGCAGTTTTGCATTTCATACATCTAATTGCAAATCAGTTGAATCTATTCAAATCAAGTGTGATTGGAGCGCGGTCTGAAGGTCAGACTTCTGATGTGACAGGACCGTGCTGTCACTTAAATTGTGCCACTGCTTGGATCATTATAATATGCACACACTTGATCATGAAAACGTAACAGGCTGTTGTGATTTTTGGCATTTTCAGTTTTGCTGTGGAACCACACAATCCCCTGGTCATTAGATCCTATCTCTCTCCTCTGTGTCGTCTGTCAGTTTGTCTGTTTGACAGTTTTTTAAAATGTGCATGTGAAAGCAGAACCTGTCTGAGATCAGCTGCAGATTAACAACACGTTTGCAACTAACCACATACAAGTAAACCCAGGTTTTATAAGTAATGCATAACATTAAAAAATATGCCTGCTTGGTTTTGCCGCATCTTCTGCTTTATTTTTTTAATAGTCATAATATCATAGCAAACTAGTATGACATTTTAGTGGACAGCTTGGACACCATGCCAATCGATCGCTGGACACACACTCACTTAAAACGGGCAATTTTGCAATAACAAGTTGCCTGCATCATAAGTTACAACATATTACGCCCAATGATGCCTCTTCCAGGTCTCTGTGGAAATACAAGCTAAACTTGGTTAAAATATATGATCTGTAACCTCCTGAGACCCCACCCATTAATTTATGTCCATTGTAGTGGACATTTTGTTTTTGCATCTATCTTTTCACTGATGTAAGGAAACATATTTATTCCTGTTGTGCACTAAAGAGGACATGCTGTGAAATTAAAAATAAAAATAAATTTGAAAAAATCTAAATTGTAAGATGTCTTATTTCCTCCAAAGACAAATAACCTACAATTGAAGGGCACTTTTTTCCTTGGGTCTCAAGAGGATATATCAGTTCAATTCGTGTAGTAATTTTAACATTGGAGAGTTTTGATATATAATGTGGACTAGGAGGGTGCGTTACCCGTGACATGGCTTACATATCACAGCCACACCCAAGGCTAGTTTACCTACCGCATGGTCCAAAGATTCCGTATGTATAGCACGCTTTGGTTTTAATATTCTAACAAGTTCTGCACCATTGCAAAACACACCATGTTTCCTCTGCTCTGACTGAAATTGTCAATTGCCATAAATACCTATTTTTATTTTCTTTGTACCAAAACTGGACAATTTGTGTTACAGCACAACACCGTAGACATTAGTGTACATTTTACAATACATTGCATTGACTCCTCGGGGAGCATTTTTCTGTCCTTAAACAATGCTGCCACCTGCTGGCAGCAGCAAAGACACGCAAAGAAAGCAGGACAAATCGTGAAAGAGGCTCACTTTATTGGATGGGCTACAGCACAGGAATCAAGCCATGTTCAGCCCCTGGATGGAGGGGGTGGTGAGCAAGCTATCATTTACTGCGGCCCTGAAGCAGACTATAGGCATCACATTTTCATGGGAGGAGGAGCGATAGCAAGAAAAAAGCAACATTTTTCTTTTTGGGTGGAGTTGTACATCCATATCGTCTCAACTGGCTGTGATGGGGAACAGATTGCTGTTACACTGGAGAATAAACCATTATAGCCCATTAAACCATTATAGCACACACTTCCACTATGGAACATTGGACATTCAGTTTTCTTCTGCTCCCTTTAGTAAGATGATTAACTTTATTAATCCCACAAAGGTAGATTTCTGGGACGACTCCTCCACTTGACGTTACGATCTCACTTTCATCTCCCCGGGGCCAGTTGCAGGAGAGGCACCATCAGTTTCAGAATCCAACATGCCGCTTGCCGTCCCCGCAGCCGGAACGGAACGCCGTGCCTTCGTGTCTGAAGAGGTGGAGCATAAAGGCAGTAATGAAATGCAGAGAAACCGGACAAACTCGGGTGTCAGGATGCCAGCCGTGCCTCCTGATCGCGGGGCCACGTTCCAGTTTAAGCGATGGCAAGATCAGAACCTTTAAAACTTGAAATACAGGAACAACTAATTGCACCTCTAAAGTCAACAGATGTGCTCTTTCACATCCTGTTTACATGCCAGAAATGGCGTGAGAAGAGAGTTTGGTATGGGGGGGAGGCACAACTTAAGTTAAATGCAAGGTTTTAGGCGCTAGTTCCTTGTTCTGAATTCCTGGGGCATTCCAAAAGCCTTATTTGCACCCCCCTCCCACTACATTTCCTTCGCCCTGGAAGTTTTTCCAACTTCCAGATGTTGAAATGCTGTCCCAGTACCTTAGGGATCGAGTCACCGATGGCCGATTTTCACCCATATTACCCCTTCCCTGGAGGCCTGTGGAAGTCTAGTCGAAAGTACCTTTTGTGGAAGAGAAATTCACCTTTGGTGACACCCATGCATGGCATGGAAGCTTCTACCTCAGTGTTGACTTCATACATACAGGTGGACCATGGTAAGTCATCGAGGATTCAAGTGTGTCCCAATACTGCTTTTTGTCCATGCTATCTTCTTCCCTCACTCTCGTTCCTTCCCTCATCAGTTTTATGGACTGTCAATTTTAGACAGCAAGTCATCGAGGGAGGTAGCGAGGGGACCGTCAATAAAACAATTTTGCGATGCAGCCAGGTAATCTGTTGCCCCCCCGAAAGTGAAATGTCTTCAAGTGCTGATTGGGAGCCAGTGTTGTGCTCTAAACTGCCCCCCTGCCAGAAATTGCCTCCCCTGACATCATCGCTACAGCGAATAGTGAAAATTCGCTGACTTCTGATGCCTTTTGGTGTTTGGCTCGATGTCATCATTTCCAGATGTGACAGTGCCCAGTGTGAAGCTAATTGCCACATTATACGTATGACAAGAATAGGAGAAATATCGAAGCAGAATGAATTCAACATAGTCTCAAAAATATTAGATAGATAGATAGACAGACAGACAGACAGACAGACAGACAGACAGACCGTATTAATCCCCGGGGGGACATTAAGTTGTCATAACAGCCAAGTACATTTAAAGTTATATTATTCAAGTAAATAAATCGCTGAGGCAACTGTATTTGCACAAACAAGCGTTGTAGAAAAGAAAAGCATCACTGTCGCGTTTGAATGAAAAACTGTCACATTTGCAACGTTTAGCAGGCGGTTATTCATCTTAATTTTATTGTAAAATACCATAATAAACCAGTAATGTGGGTTATTTTAGTCTGCTTAAGGCAAAAAAAAATTAAGTTACAGTAAGCGGTCGCTTCCGCCGCGCAGGAGCTACGAAGCAACATGGCAATCAAAAAGAGCGATGACGTCAGGGGTGGCAATCCGTGGCAAGGGGGCAGTTTACATCTGAATCTTCCAAGTTAGCGCCGGTGTTTGTGGGCAATTAATCAGCAAGGTTTTCGCTATAGCCCCCTAGCAGGTGCTGGTCGAGCGACAATCACCTATTCTGTAGTAGGGACTTGAAAAAGGTTCAGGAACCACCTTCACGGAACTACAATCGGGCCGGCTTCCTGTTATGGGAGGGCGACAGAAATCCTAAAAAGGTTCTGGTTCCTAAAAAAAAAACCCTATTAATATTGAAAAGGGAAGATGAAAATAGTTTTTCCCAGGCGGGTTTTTAATCGCCGGATATCTAGACGCGCATGTATTTCACGGTTCTGCCGACTTATCATCCTTTTTAAATCGTGAAACCAGTCGTTATTAAAATGAAGTACTCCACAAAGCTCACATACCATTGATTATCAAATGCTTAAACCCTGAGGGCATTTTGAATAAAGCGTTTTAAGAGATTCCAGCAGACGGAGACACACCGGTGCCGAAGCTGCACTTGGCTCTGTCTGTCCTGCACGGCGCCATGGCGCTTCGCTTCTCCGGATCCGACGGCTCCTTCTCGGAAAGGAAGTTTGCGATCTTCCTGGCCACGTAGGAGCCGGCTGGGAAAGTCAGGGCCGAAGGTGCAGTTAATCACAATACGTTTATTCATTTTCATGGAAGCATACGTTTAGACATAAAAGTAATGTATGTAGTACAAGGCGTAAGTTACCATTGATTAATAGTCACACCATTTCTGTCTTCGGGATGGGCACTTTACCGATGCAGAACAACGTTCGCCTTTCCTTTTTGGTTTTACAGAGCTTTTTAGTTGGAAACAGGCTCGATAAGTATTATATAGACCGAGGAAGGCGGAGCGGCTGCTGTAAGTCTTGCGCAGGCAGTGTTGCGGTTGCGCTGCAGCTGCGCTGTTCCCGAGGTCTTCGTTAACCCGGACTACAGCAGCGGACACGGCTGAGAATGGATACGCTGGATGCTCAAAAATCACCGGGTGACTCAGTGTGATGGTGATTCGTGTCCCTGCACCTTCTGACAGGTACCTGAAACGAGCCCTGACCTAAGCTGTGTCACTTTTCAACTATCCACCAAATCACAACGTGGGTGGGCCGACAGGGAATCAGGTGGGACAGTCCCACAGCAGTTCGGTGGGGTGGCAAGGTGGTCACTAGCTAAACACTAAAAACATGACTGATGCCTAAACATTATTAACCCGGAAGTACCTATCGACAGATTATATAACAACAGAACCCCACGCTGGTTCGTAAAATCAAGCATTAGAAGTTGCCTTTGAATTAACACCTAATTGAATTAGCATAAGGGTTGACATATCTAGATAATAGCATTGGTATAGTCATTAAGAACTGAGGTTCACCAGGGGGGTGTTCCACAAAGCAGATTTTCCAGTTAGCTGAGTAACTTAAGCCAACTGTGAAAACTGTCCAATAAGAAGAGAGGTAAGTGACATTGCTAATGGACAGCCCTTACCTCTGGCTTAAGTTAATGAAAATGAAAAATAAGTTGAAAAAATACTGCTTTGTGGAACACCCCCCAGGAGTGCCAATGCTGAGCTCCGGTCAAGTACCATGTTGTGATGCTGTTTTCATTGTGGAACTTTCATCTCAATAGAACATTATCAGCCAAGCAGAAAAGGGGAACCTAGACACTATTGCAGGTTCCTGTACCCTACGCCTTGACTGCAGACATACTGACACAATTCCCTGTCACATTGCAGATAAAGGCCTGTGGCTGCTCAAAAAGCATCTCCATTATCTCCAACAATTGAAATTACACTTACCCTGAAGGACCGGATTATATCTAAAGGGACTAATTGAATGGAGTTGGACTAGATTTCTAATCTGATATATGTACAATTCCTCTTTTACTTACCTCATAAGTATTTGCAGGCAAATCCTAGCAAGGAGCTTCACACCATTAACGTGTCTAATGGTGTCTGTCAGGGTCGTCCCTCCGGTTTCTTCACCTCTCAATATCCGCTGGGCAACTTGAGCAGCAGGAAATTAACACTGACCTGCAGCTAGGTGATTGTTCAGTCGTACAGTGGTCTGCTCCATTTTCCGGAGACTATACTCAAATGCTAACCCTGGCTGCCTGCTTCATTGTACCTTTTTTATTTGACGTCACGAGAAAAGCATGAGCTGTAGATTAAGGAAACCGGTTTGTGACTAATCTTATACGATATACAAATGCACATACAGGGTACATGTGCCCAAATAGGTATCGTTTGGCATCACTACTATTAAAAAGGTTACAGCAGACCACATCGACATAGATAAAGGCAATAAAATTGTGCTATATGTCGTTGTTACTACATCGACTAATTGAAGAGGAATAGATTGATTATTTGGCAAGGTGAGGGAGGTTTAAGTCCGGGGGGGGCGTTCCACAAAGCAAGATTTCTTGCTTAGACAGATAGCTTGTTGATTTTAAAGTAGTCTGGGCTAAATGAAAGTGAATGAAGATAAAGGCCAATTAGCCCACACTACCTTAAATCCGACAAATTATCCAGCTAAGCAGGGAATCCTGCTTCGGTGAACACCCCCCCCCCGGTCACTGCAGTTCCACATCCCTGTGGTCCACATGGCTCCATCTCCCACTGAATGGCTAAGCAACAGCCCTCAAAAGTATAGCTCAAAGTCACCTGTGACACCTGTGATGCCTGTGAACTCTGTATGCAGTTCGGTGCTGTAGCTTCAGGTCGATGTTATGCAGCAGCTCATGATTGGCACTGGGTTTTTGTTTCTGCAAATTACAGCCGTAACAAAGACGTTCACTGTGCATACCCACAGGGTCATAAGGGTTTGGAACCTATGAGCACACGGCTGGGGCCTCTCGAGGATAGCCCTAGTAACCCACCACAGGGCACACACACATTCACATTTTTCTGACTCCAGCTTGGTATGATTTTTGAACTGGGGGATGTTGAATAAAACCGCATGATGATACTGAAAGAAGATACAAACTCCATATATGTACAGCCAGGGCAGAGACTCAAACCCTGGTCCCGGAGATGTAAGATAACAATGCTAACCACCACAACACCCTACAGCAGAATTTTCTCATAAGCAAATACTCAGACAAAAGCCTAACTAAAAGGCTAAAAGTTAAAGATCAAGGTGAGAATGCACGGGTGCCAGATGCACAGCTTTAAGTATGAAAGCGCTTTGAAATATTAAGTTTTGATTCGGTCCATTGAACAGGCGATACTTCACATCTTGTGATTTGGCGACACCTAGAACAATGAGATGCAGATTTCTTGCTACTCGTGACAAAATTGCCGGTTATATCCTGATAAAACTTTTGCCTGACAAAGGAACGCAAATGTTATCTAATTAATCATCACAAAGAAAAATAATTAAGATAATAAGTGTTCATTATCTTGTCGGACAACAAGTCATTTGCGGGTTCGAATAATTGTCAAAATGTAAGTTGCGTTACCAGTAATTACCGCTTGATGGCGATATTTGATCATATATCCTTGCAGCATCGTATGGCGGACAGGACGAAATGTTATTGTGAGCAGGGATCGTCAACCTGTTAGTACTCGGACTAACGTGTCCCTGGCGAGACTTCTCTATGTCCTCTAAGGAAAAAACTGTATATCCTACGTTTTTAAATACAATATTCGTTGTGAAAAATTACATTTTGATCACACTGTCCGTCACAATGCCACGTGATCAACTGAAATTGCAGAAATTGTTTTAAAACTAGGGTAATCCGGAATATTTCAAAATAGCAACAAAAATCATCAGCAATTTCATTTTTAGTTTTCTATGAGTCACGGATGAAACAGGTGAGGCGATGTATACATACTGGTTTGTGTTCTAAAAGTCGATGTTGGATGGGGTGGTGTCCCGCTGCGACCACTTTATACCGCGTTTCCTCCATGGCTGACGGAGACCGAGACGCATTACCATACCCTTGAGACAAGTGGTCTGTCTGCGACTGGATTCTCATTTAACACTTAATTATAAACTGGGTATTAGCCCACGTTTGAAGGTTACGGCTGCGTTCTCTCGAGGATAGCCCTAGTAAAAAAAGCCTTGTATTTTCTAATTGAATTATATTTCGCCGAATAAATAAAATAAAGTGGTGAGAATAAAATAATGAAAATGTGTTTATGAATTAATTGGCTTGTAATTTAGGCCTGCCCTGATATTGCATATGCTGTTGATTTAATTAATCACATGGCGATTGCGAAGTTTCATCCTATAGCTGTCAATGACGTGTTGTATACATCATCATTTCTTAAAGTTGCGCCTCGATCCCGACCAGGATTAAGCGGTTATAAAATTGATGGAAGGGTTTTCATAAATAATAATATGACCTACAACCACAACACTAATCAATACAGTTTATGACATTAATAATTGCGGCCAAATAAGCATTTGATTCGTAAATATCACTACCATTGGTCCTTATTTAATATCCAAATAACAGACCATAAAGGTATTCCTAGATGAGCCCATGTATCAGCATCCATTTTCAATGACTATTGCGCCGGTTCGGTAAAGGTGTTGCAGTGTTTACTGACGTAAAACCGAAGAGACGGTTATTTATTGTTCACACAGTGTACATCATGATGAACTATGTGCAATTATTATTATTATTGTTGTTGTTGTTGTTGTTGTTGTTGTGTGCGCTAATTTCCACTAGTACGTCTGTGTGGAGTTTGCCTGTATTCCCTTTGTGTAGTGATGGTTTCGTCCCGGATGTCAAGTTTCCTCCGGCAGGCCAAAGACATGCAGTTTTCGTTAGCTGAGGACTTCTAATTTGCCGTGTCCTGAATATTGCGCCTTCTCCTGTCTGGGATAGACCTCCAGTACAAACTGCAGCACAAGTGGTTATAAGATGGATGTCATTCACTAGGGTAGGGGTGACCAATCGTATCCATAAACCGCCGCTTTATATTCGGTTTTCGTTGTAACTCCATAATCAGATTACTGAGGACTGATTGGCTGAAGAGTCCTCACAACTGGGTCTGAGGAGCTGGCCTAAAGGTTATCGCAAAAACCTGTATACACACCGGCCCTTTGCGGATAAGATTATAGCCACCCGTGTAGAAAAAAGTGTTCTGCTATATGCCTATGAAGTGGTATGGAGACGAAAGTAATTATCTTTGTGTTATTTAAGTTATTCTTCGGAAATTTGGCACAAGACATGTGTAATAAATTTCTGCAGTTCTCCGAGGTTTTATGGAGGGGGGAACTGCTGTTTCGAGACCCTGTCCAAACATCGGCAGGAATGCTCTGAGTGAGCTATGGCAGTTCAGAGTGCCGCAGAAGACGGGTACGTTTGTTCGCCGACCTCCGTAGAGATTGTGAAGGGAATGGCGTGGTTACAATAATGCCGTGTAGATTTAGCGAGGAGTTTAATGACATGACATGCAGTGGCGGTCGAAACCCATGTGGCTCCCTAGGCAAGCTTCACCGCCCAATTTCGCTCTATATCGGATATATGGTGGGGGGGGGGGTGTTTGCTAAGTTGGCGTCCACTCAGAAGACGGCGCCATAGCCAGCAGCCTTTGTCGCCTAAGAACTTGGCCGACACTGACGTAAAGGCGTCAGGGAGACGTAATGGTTTCAAATTCAAGAAAACAAAATCTCCATACAGTCAAAACTTTGGGGAATATCTGGGAATTTATGAAAAGCTGTGCTTTACATGCAATATCTCGCAGCAAACAGCATTACTGCGATCCACGAACGAAATGACTCATCGGATCCGCTTGTCTGGGAAGAAAATTAAATTGAACGTTTTGCCTACAAAAAGCATCTGCCATTAGGCGGCGCTCTTGTCACTCAGAAGAAAATATTGGCGCAAAATAAGGTGCCGTGGGGGAGCGAGGCCGCGACAAACAAGCTTTGGTCGGGAAGAACTGATGATAAGCGTGGAATGCTATTCTAGCGCAGGTCCAGGCCCCTAAGAGGATTGACCTTGATGGTCAAGTCCTTTACACGTCCCTTTTGAAACGTTTTTTTATTATTATTTTTGGCAGAAGGGCGACCCGTATTCCATACTGCTCTTCGCATTTCAGGGACGTTAAACTGAGTTCCTTTGCCATTTACAACGCAAAGGTGGCTATAGAGGCGGGATATGTAGCCTCTAATCTTATACTCCAATAACGTAACGACGTTTCCAGGACAGATAAA